TAATGTCTGGTGCTGGTAGGCCCAGAGAGTATAGAAAGAACCCCAGTAAGTGTATCGCGTTTCATAGACATGGCATCTGGGGAACGGAATACTGGCAGGTCTGCATTTTGCCCTTCTCACAGTTATCTATTTTACTTAATGTCTCAATGAACCCGACGCAGTTTTCAAATGGCGTTGGTGAATTTTGTATATATAAGAATGCTACTTTCTGAGAGCCAAGGTTCACAGGTTCGGTGAGATGGAGCATTCAGGTTTTGTGGGTCTTACAAAGCTCTGGTGGTGCATTGGCTAATTGCCTGCTGCCTCAACGGGCTGCAGGTTTGAATCCACCCAGCTATGGTGCAGTGCTGCTCTGTCACATGGAGTCACTATGAGTTATAAATGGACTTGACAGCACTGTCCTACAATAAGGTAGCAGGCAGTGAACTGAACATATGCCCAGGGTTAAAATTCCTGAAAGTTGGAGCAGGACAGCAAATAAAATCACATCGCTCCCTTTGTCACTCCCTCAGGCAGTCTTTGGAACGTCAAAATCAAGCCAGGCAAATTGTTAATCGTGTCAGGGAGTTCAATAGAAATCCAAACTATATCCTGCTAAGATTTTTTAGATAATACAATTTTGTGGAGAAAACAATGGACATTAGAAAGAGGACACACACAAAAATATTCCCATTCTATTAGAAGAAAGCAAAATTGGAAAGGCTTGACATAAATACTATGGTGAATTTCTTACATTTCTTCTTGTTTTGTGACAAACTAGATGTAGTCAAAAGCACACCTGATTTTGAACTCAGAAATATTTTAATCTCGGGTGCCGTCTTGTGTAAAATTATTTGGTAAATTCATATTTTGGCTCAATGGCCTGCCGGGTAACAATGATTTACGAAATTTATATCCTTTTTCATATTGTATAAATTTTCTAAACTCTGCTAATTTGTCAAATTATCTGACATAACTCTGCTTTTAAAATGTCACCTGGAGCTTGTAAGTGACACGATCCCACCATTAGCTTTTTGCCAGCGTTCTGTTGGAGCTTCTCCCTGGCTGCATCAGCTTGGGGAGCAGTTATGTGATCTCTGGAGACTTGCTTTCCTGGTGGGAAGCTGCTGTTGAAACATGCGAAAACGGGGGACCTTTGGCTTTACACCTTTCGGCCATTATCAGATTTTCTTCTACACACGTGCCATCAATGCAACAGATGGCCTTGAAACGGTGGATGCCCAGTGCTTTCTTTTAAGCTATGACCATCAGGAATTCTACTTGATTTTCAATATAATTCTTGATATTTTATGAAGGAGTTTCCTTGGGACTAGGTGGGGAAAAGGAAAACTGTCTATCAGCATGCTAATTTTCCTCCATGGACTCAATCTCTCTTTGTCTCCAAATCCCCCCCTCCCACGTTCTTTTAAAAGATTGAAAAGTGAACAAAGTTTAACGATCACCCGCTGAACAGATCACAACCCCTCACTTTGGGGCTAACTGCACTAGCAGTTTTGTTAAATCAAGACTTGGGATTGGAGGGAGTCTCAAGGAATCTTTTTTGAATACTGAGATACGGTATCAAATGAACACCACAAAATGTGTCTAAATCTTTTTAGACACTCTAAGCACTTGATGTGCAATTTCTAGGTTAATCCTTGAGATCAAGGTCAACTATGTACAGCTAATGCCCAAAGTTTAATTTATAATGTGCCTCTTATGTCAAAATTCCAAAACAGCATATTAATTGTTGTGACTATTTAGTATTTTATAAGGTTTAAATAAAAGCTTCATATAGAACCTTAGTAAAAGTCATGAAACAGTAGGATTATAAATACATGCTATTCAGAACTTACAAAAGACTTTGTTATAGGCATGTCTTCTAAGTGAAATTAAGGAACTTTCGATAAAGCTATAGAAATAGTCTCAGTGGACCCACATTGCTACCTTGAATTTCATTGTTCTTCCCTTGCTTTCATGGTTGACCAGTGGCAGTGGCAAATACTGCTAAGCACTACATGGAATGAGAAAGTACAAGACATATGGATCTAGGAGCGATCTTTGTTTTTAGCACATAGAGAGGTTCTTTGGCATGGATGATGTCAGAATTTAAAGATACACTGATGTAAAAAGTTCTCTGCAAACCGATTTGCTCATGTTTCATTGTACAGAAAATCCCACCTGTCTACGAAACTCTTCGATTTTCAAACTCACTAATCCCCATTGAAGGGAGACCGTCATCATAACTCCAGCATAATTAACCTTTATTGAGAAGCCTTTGGAATGGGGTCTCTACTTTTAAAAATGTGTTTGAGAAACTATTAGCAATTTAATATTTTCCCTAGTTTATTTACCATTTTCCTATAATTAATAAAAGGAGCAATGCTGGCTTTGTGGCATAAGCATGTCTTAAAAATAGGATCACTAAAAGTCGGAAATGACGTGGTAGCAGTGAGTTTGGTTTTGGTTTATGATTAATTAAAAAGCTGTAGTGGCACTGTGGGTTAAGCTTAGACTACTAATTGCAGTCAGTAGTTCAAACCTACCAGTCACTGAGGAAGAAAGACGAGGCTGTTGGCTACTGTAGATATTTAGTCTTGGAAACCCTAAGAAGCAGTTCTACCTGTCCTATAGGGTTGCCTTGAGTTAGAATCAACTCAATAGCAGTGGGTTTTTGGTAACGTGTATAAAGCACCGCTGGGGACTTTGCTTCAACTCATAAAACCTTCACAACTCAGTGAGATGGGTGCACTCATCTCTCATTTTTTTTCTTTTTAAAATCATTTTATCGGGGGCTCGTACAACTCATCACAATCCATACATGCATCATGTAAAGCACATTTGTACATTTGTTGCCATCAGCATTCTCAAAACATTTGCTTTCTACTTGAGCCCTTGGTATCAGCTCATTTTCCCCCTCCCTGCTCCCCACCCCGAACCCTTGATAATTTATACATTATCATTATTTTGTCATGTCTTACACTGTCCGATGTCTCCCTTCATCCACTTTTCTGTTGCCGGTTCCCCAGGGAGGATCCTTGTGATTGGTTCCCCCTTTCTACCCCACCTTCCCCTTCCCCTCCTGGTATCTGTACTCTCATTATTGGTCCTGAGGGTTTTATCTATCCAGGATTCTGTTTCCAGTTCTTATCTGTACCAGTGTACATCCTCTGGTCTAGCGAGATTTGTAAGGTAGAATTGAGATCATGATAGTGAAAGTGCGGGTGGCGGGTAGGGAGGAAGCATTAAAGAACTAGAGGAAAGTTGTATGTTTCATCATTGCTATACTGCACCCTGACTGGCTCATCTCCTCCCTGAGACCCTTCTGTAAAAGGGATGTCCAGTTGCCTACAGATGGGCTTTGGGCCTCCACTCTGCACTCCCGTTCCTTCACAGTGATATAATTTTTGTTCTTTGATGCCTGATACCTGATCCCATTGACACCTCGGGATTACACAGGCTGATGTGCTTCTTCCATGTGGGCTTTGTTGCTTCTGAGCTAGATGGCCGCTTGTTTATCTTCAAGCCTTTAAGAGCCCAGATGCTGTATCTTTTGATAGCCAGGCACCATCAGCTTTCTTCACCACATTTGCTTATGCACCCCCTTTGTCTTCAGTGATTGTGTTGGGAAGGTGAGCATCATGGAATGCCAGTTTAATAAAACAAAGTGTTCTTGCATTGTCACCCATCACATCTAAGCACTTTGCTTCACTCATAAAATCCTCACAACTCAATGAGATGCGTGATCGTTATCCCTGTTCACTGCTTTCATCTGTATTCAATGCATTCTGTGGATTTTGGTATTTTCTCTGATTGCCATACATCAGACCTCTGGAGTGGTTATTACAATACTATAACGTACTTTTGTGCTTTTCTAGACTTTGGAGGCAAGAAGGAAATGTCAGACTCATAATTCTCACACCAGGGAGGATGAGAAACAGCCTACGGAGCACGACACTGAACAGGCAGAAATGCTGTGTCTACAGCCACGGAACAACAGGAAAGACGAGGTTACCCAATGCTCCAAAGCAAATTGCACCTGAGCATGCGCCTGGAGTCCCTGTTTTCCTTGCCTCTTCAGAAGTAGTTAGTTACTGCACTAAAGGAGCAAGTAGAAAGTTTCCCAGACGGCCAACCACATCGACTTCAACGAGCTTAGGCGTCAGCCATCAAAGCATGTGGCTTGGACATGACTTTGGAATCATTAACCTTTTTGGCACGGAGTTTTTTTCTCCCTGCTTCCAAACACTTTGTTCTCAGTTCCCTACCTTTGGGATTTGCTAGGGATTTGAGAAATCTGCTCGTACCTAGAAGCTGTAGTGCTGTGTATTATTTTGCACTTTTACGAGGGTCTTGGGTACTCGCGCCCTTGGCAAGGGTACTAATTTGGGAATTTAAAAGTGCTGGGGCCGCTCCATGGAAGTGATTTTGCAGATGGCCCTGTTTATTACACCACATAGGCAGCTTGCCTGCATGTGGAGCCAGCCGACGCCAGCATGCTGGGTGGCTTCAAAGGGAAACGGGTGGCTGAAGTTCTAGTGGCTACAGGTTAATTCAAGCGCACAATGTGCCTGAGCTTCCAGGAGTTTGATTAAGCGGTAGGGGTCATAGCAACATATTAATTTATTTGGAGCACAATGGCCAAAAACTTTAATTAACTGAAAATTACCCATACAGGAGGGAGATTAACTTCAACTGAGCGCTCCTTAAAAATAGGAACCGACTTAAAAGCTATGGGTCCGGCACTAATCCAATTAATGAAGGCCTTGCACAGCGCCATGAATATTATGCTATTTTACATGATTATTTGAAAGGCCCAGAAAGGGAGATACACAGGAAGAAATAACGGGGCCGTGTCATGAATTTCTGCCATGTGGCCTCTTTGGGCAATTTTTTTCACTTCTCATTAAAGTTTTCAGTGGATTCTTCTCTCAGCACCACCCCCACCCCCAATTTCCACACTCCTCGAGACAGTAATTCACTCGCAAAGGAAGCACGTCTGCGACTTTATTAATAACCAACTGTTTTTTATTAGAGCATATACATTTGTGAAAACTGTACATTATACATTTTGGTTTCAAGGATTATAAATAAAGGAACTCACAGGTAGGGAGTTCTTTTTCACAGCAAGAAACTTTAAATAACAAAAGTCGTGGTTTATTAAGTTACATCGACAGACCTCATGTGCTGTCCAAAATGTAGTGTACAGTGTAACAACCCATTAGAAAGAGCCTTTCATGTAAAATACAGCTGTGCACATTTTAGAAAAATACCAACAATTTGAGCTTTGTTTTTAAAAAAGCTTATAAATCATACATATATTTATAAATGGAACCAACATGCTCACCTTATAAACATATCCTGTAGTTATCTGTTACCCATTTTTCCCCAAAGCGATACAGTTTAAATAAACACTTAATAAGATTAAATATTTTATTTAAAATACAACAAGTGCACGTCTCTCCCAGCATGAGGAGCTATGGGGTCAGGAAGGAGCAGGGAAAGTATGGAGACCGACAGGAACTTCAGTGTTTGTTCTGGGGTAAAATGGACTTCCTAAATCAAAAAGTCAAAGCAAAATGTAAAAAACAAGTCATATACAAGTTGTAAGTCTCATTTGCGTGCTCTCTCCCTCTCTGCTGTCTTCTTGATTCCGTATTGGTCACATCCAGGACTATCAATCTACGGTACTTCTGCAAGACACTACCAGGGGCCGCAGCACCCAGCCCAGGCCAGTGCTAACCTGCGTACGAGCTGTCTCTTCAGCACCGAGAAAGTAGCTCCCAAAGTGAAAAGGTTCTTTGACTGAGCCATGCAAATCTCAAAAGTACTTAGGAACGGCCCCTCCTCTGCAAAGTAGTGTTTTCAAGAGACTTAATAAGACACCATTCCTCCCCCAATTTCTCTTTTAAATAGTACTGTTTTATGATGACCATGTAATTACTGTAAGTAGGCATGCATCTGAGTAAGGAAGAATGAATTATAAAATAGCAAAAATCAGATTATGTCAGAATAACAAGAGACTTCCCAAAGACAAATATTTAAATTAAAAACGTCAAAGCCTTTAAAATGTGAAATAAAACTACGGATGGACTTGGGGAAGTGTGAAAGGCATACATAATCAAGAACCGGGGGGTTTCACAAGGCTTTATGCTCTACCTGTACGCATTCACTGAAAAAAATTAAAGCTGGGGGAGGGAAAAGAGAAGTGCAGTTATAAATAACATCTTGCTTAACTTTCATGGGAATTAACATAGCCACTGAGAAGACTGTATTTGGTTGTAAAGTACGTCAGCACGGAAACTGAACCCTCTCAGCACTGATTACTGCAATCCATGCACAATTTGGACGATCGTTCTTAGAACTGCTGTCTTTGAAAATCTAGTACCTCTTAAGGGCATAACTGATGCCTCAGTCGGGTCAAAAACATTTAAAATGAGATTATGTCTTAGGAAGATAGAACACCTTCCAACGGTTAGAACTTGTAAAGCTAAACCACCGTTTCCAGATTCAGGAGCACACCTGGCACAATGCACTTGTGTCCAGATAAACACATTTTCACCAACGTTCTGTTGTTCTGTTCCTTGAGGTCCGACAAGTGGGCTTCCTCTGTCCAAGACTGTATGTTGTGTGTTGCTCTACCTCAGATTGAAATAAACAGCAAAAATGAACATAATCGTCCACAAGCAATGCAAACGTTGCTCCCAGGACATTCCGGGAGATGTTAAAGCAGCAGGTCACAGCATAAGACTGGTGAGTGATGCTGCCACCTATTTCTTCTACCGAGATTGGAGTGAATGTTGGAAGCACTTCCACAGCAACACAATCCTGCGAGCGCATTCCGTGAGCAGTCCTTTCCCAGCTCCCTACTGACAACGTCAGACGGTAAAATAGTACGGCAGCTGTTGACTTCCATCAAAAAGAAAAAAACAAAAATACAGCTCCAGACAGTTCCAGTTGAGTCACACTCTGCTAGGACGGATGGCGTAGCCCGATGGGCCTGCTTCAGCAGATTTCAGAAAATTATTATTACGTTTTGCTCTCCAACATGGCTGTTTGCTTCAGCCCTGATAGGACCCCAAAGCCACAAAGCACTCCCAGGGGGCAACCTAACAGGTTCTCTGGCTGAATTTTCCAAGTTGCCTCTCTCTTGCAATCCCATCCTAATTGCAAGCCTCCTTCTCTGCGTCTGAGTCTGACTGGGTGAAGTGTGGCCTCTTACAAGGCGGATGACACCACCGTAGAGAATGGCGGGCTAACGCCACTAGTTGACACGCCTTCACTGAGAGCCCTAACAATTACATCATGAAGAAACTATGCTGAATCACATCCAGGCACAGCCAAACTTAAAGTGAAGGGCAATAGGTAGTTGTAAAAATGGAAATTTGAATCTGAGACAATAGTATAGATTGTTATCGTCTAGAGAACTTAAGGCTATTTTCTTACCTGTCCTAATTCCAATCACGTTAGGAAGTGGACAAACAGAATGGCTAACCCGATATTCAACAGCATGACCAGGACAATCATGACGGAATTTGGGCCCTGGAAAACAAACAATCAAAGAAACAGAGTAAAACAACTGTAATAACTTTTTCACGTTAATATCAAGACGTACATTAGTTCACACAACCGTGGATGTGTGTAAAACAAAGCAAAAGACTAAATAACATCTTAAGAATGATAGAAACTCTAAAAGGCATAAAGTAAAAAGAGCACGATGGAGCCAGGTCTGATCTTTCCATCAGGAACTAGTATGGACTTATTCTCAAAATGATCCGATGCAAAAACTTCACTTTGGTCTTTCGAAATGAAAGATGACACTGTGGTCTCTCAGGTCCAGGGGCTCACAGGAACTGGATTTTGTCCCATTTGTTGCTAATGCGTAATTCCTATAAGGAGGCCCTGGGTGCTTAGAATGGCAGTTGCATGTGACAGTGAAGCCTGTAGGGCAACAAACCTCCAAAGGAAATTTCAGAAAAAACCCTTCAAAATTCAGTTTTCAGACTTCTTCCTGGTATCCCTTTCCTTCTTGAAAGGTAAAGACTGCAACATGGGAAGCCAAACACCTTCAGAAGTTATTCTGCAGGTCTAATTCCTTTCTATCTTTTTTTTTCCCCTGTTGACAACCCCCCCACCCCCGTCAGACATCAGGCTATGTTTTAACACATTGCAATCAGGGTTGACTTGATGCCAGAGGGTTTGCCTGGTTTATAATAAATACTACATAGCTCTTTGCTTCTTGCTTTATTTTTTTAAACAACAACAAAAAAGCTCCTATTATCCATCTTTTCAAATCGTTTACAAAGGCGAATTCTTGGTGTTTGCTGTTAAAATAATACCTATTTTTTTAAAAGATAATTTTATTGGGGGCTCTTACAGCTCTCCTAACAATCCATACATCAATTGTATCAATCATATTAGTACGTATGTTGCCATCATTACTTTCCATTTAGTTTCTTTTTAAATTAGAAATAAATTATTTTATTGGGGGCTCATACAACTCATGTATACATCCCTTGTATCAAGCAAATTTGTACATACGCTGCCATCATTATTTAAAAAAATATTTTCTTTGTTTGAGCCCTTGGTATCAGCTCCTCATTTTTCGCCCCTAACTCTCCCCCTCCCACCCTCGTGACCCCTTGATAAATGATTGTTATTTTCATATTGTACACTGATCACTGTCTCCCTTCCCTCACAGTTCCTGTTGTCCCTCCCCGTAGGGGTGTGTGTGTGGTTATGTGTCGATCATTGCGATCAATCCCCCTTCCTCCCCTCCTCTCCTCATCTTTACTTAATTCTTAAGTAGCACTAAAAGCCTTCTGAACTGGCCATTAAAATGATATCGTTTTAATTGTCCTTAATTAACAGTTGAGACAACAATTGTATTATATCAGAACATTAAAAAAGACAATATTGGAACAATGTTACAAGCTCCTTAAAACATATTTTTTTGGGGGATAGGGGCTAGAATGGTCCAACTGCTACTGAAAATGCTCATCTACTAAGGTCTACAATTTCCATCCTCATCCAACCAAACGCACTGCCACTGAGTCAATTGACTCATGGAGACACAGAACTGCTCTGCCTCTGAGGTTCCTGTTATGTCTTTCAAGGAGCAGCAGCCTCACCTTTCTCCTGCGAAGTGGCTGGTGGATTCAAACCGTTGACCTGGGGGTAAGACCCCTTGTAGTCTGTTAGACCACGAAGGTGCCTTACTATCAGGAAAAACTAGATCCAAATCAAATGCTGATCCTGACCAGTTGCTCTTTCCGAAAGGGTGGCTCCCAGCTTCATGGGAGCCTTTTCAACGGTGGCTCATCTGGAACACTTAAATCCTATCTAGGACTTTCCTAACTCTGAACTTAACTGAGGGAATATTCCATCAGCTTCATTCAGGACAGAGATTCTTAAATTGCATACCGTGATGAACTTTTGTGTGTGTCAGAACTTTGGGAATCATTTTCAAACTTGCTTTTAATTCACTAGTCCCAAAGGCAACTCGATGATAAGAAGATGCGGAGAAGCAGACTCTGGGTCAGAAAAATACAAGGTGGAGCTTTTGTTTTCGGGAGTCCCACGGAGAGAGAAAAGAAGAGAAAGGTCAACAACTTTATGGTGTCCTAACCTGTAACTCTGTTCCGTAAAAGGCATTTTTGTAAGGTCCTGTGATTTTTCTTTAACCCTGCCGGAGTTTGTATAGCCTCTTGGGTTAGAATTTAATTTATTATCTTCCTTTGAGCTTTTGCTTGCACGTACGTCCCTTTCGTGGCCATCCGGATTCCATGACCAAGTGGTCAGCATGAACAGTTCTCTCCACAGAACGCACACACACACACACACACACACACACGCACGCACACACACACACACAGTTATATACCATGGGGGTTCATAGGGTTTCAGGAAAAATTTTGTCATTGCCTAATTTTATTTTTCCTTAAAGATTTTGAAGTTACTTCATAGTGTTACCATACCAAAGTCGCTCCGCTTATAAAGCTATTTTTAAAGAGGATTCAGTGAGGCCAGGAATAAACCAGCAATAAAAGGTGCCAACAGCAACAGGTGGAAAAGAAAATCTGGGAAGTGGTGTGGAGTAGGTAGCTAGCGAGACGCGCCCTCTGTGTTCTTCAGACGCCTGCGCTGGGCACAGTCTGGAGGGCTTTCAGGTGAAGACCATAAATACGACTGTGGTGGCCAGAGGGAGCTTAAAATAGCAAAATGGAAACCACAAGAAAAACCACCGAAAAAAAAACCAACAACCCCCAAACCAACAAACCACCCCAGTGTTGCTTTTGTTTTTCAAGCCTGATTGGGACAGGGGCAATCCAAAAAGCTGGATGGGGCAAAGTGTCCGTCTTGATCGGATGCTGACATTCTGACAGGTGCAAAATAAAACCCAGGAAAAGTTCAAAACAAGCACAAAAGTTAACTCCACAAATGAATCTCTCCTTTTTAAAAAAGAGACTGTCATTTATTGAAAACTGCGAGGGATTTTCTGCTGGATGTATGGGTATAGTTTCTAACAAAAAACAAAGAGCACAGTATGTATTTACTGCTTTTATTATTATTATTTATTCTGATATGATATGATAGATAGAGATCTTTAGACTTTACATCAGTTCGAAGATCAATTAAATCTCAAATTACACGTGGGCGCTGATCTGAGCTGTGAAAAATGTGCAGGCAGTTTTCAGAACGGGCCGGGCTTCTTGATTGCAAGACCCTTCACTGCTCTATTTTGATAACATGGCTCAAAGTTCCCACTAGAGCTCCCATGTCGTAAAATCCGACAAAGATTTCGGTACTACGGGGACGGTGCTCTTGTGAGGCGGGAGGTTACTTACAACCACTGCCCACGGAGTCACAAGCTTCCTGCGGAAGGCTGAAGAGTAATCCCGGTGAGAGCCTCCCTTCTCCTACTTCTCATATAAGTCATTAATCTGCGCTAAGGTTTAGCCTGCATCCCAGAAGATTTTCTGTACTTCCAGCAAAATCGTGAGGATGAATGAAAAATCTATTAGAAAAGAATATCAGTTTCTGCTTTTAACAAGAACAGTGTTGAAACAAACATAAACCGGAAGCAGCCAGTGCTTTGGACGACCTGCTCTATGTGGGTATTTTGATAAGAACTTTGTATGCATGAATCCATCTAGTCTGCACGATAATCCTGTAAGTACAGGGAAAACCAAGGCACAGGGCAGGGAGGATTCAGACCCAAGCTCACACACATGGTAAACAACAGAGCTGGGATTTGAACCAAGACACTTTGGCACCAGAGCGCATGCTCTTCGCCACAAGTATATGCTGTGCCAACGACAGAAGCTGGTTGGCTGGAATTCCAGATTGAGTGTGGTCGTCACCCTACCAATGATGATTCTGATTCAAATTGGATCTCTTGCTCACCCCAAGAGAAGCACAAATTAACTCATTCTGGTTTCCCCCGAAACATCTGCTTTAGTTTCAATGGATTTTTCAGTTGTTATTTGTCTAAATTACATAGCGTCTCTCCATCTCAAAAGTGTATGTTGCGTGTTCTGAACTGGCGTAAAATGTAAACATCGTTATCATGCCAGAATGAATGAATAAATAATAAAAATGAAGGCAGTAAGTATGTACAACTGAACACTGAATCAAGTCGTGCTCTTTGCATGTTTTCACTTGGGCCTGCTCACTGACTACCTTTCTAACAACTGTGGCCTCTCCTTACCCATGGGGAAGAAAACAGTTACCAGGAAAGTGAAAGGCAACTTTCTGTTGCTACAGGGAAGACAATATTGATGGTTAAGATTTCCACAGGAGGGGACCTACTCCACTTGAGACCTGTTTTCAGCCACAACAGAGGCAGGTGGGAGCTGGGGAGCACAGGGCTGCTCACACCTTCTCTCCCCCCGGGTGGGTGGACAGGAGCTCTAGCAGCCCCAGCCACCCAAGCTAGTGGATGGGGTGCTAACACTGAGGTAGGAGGATGCCACACTCAGAAGTCAACTAGATGCGTTTTCGGATAATGAAGCTATACATTTAGCAAGTATCCCCATGAGCACGGGTTGAGAGAAAGACTGCTGGGTTACTCTGCTCAGCCTAAGACTTTGGGGCAACCACTTTTTTTTAATAATCATTTTATTAGGGGCTCTACAACTCATCACAATCCATACATACATCATTTGTGTCCAGCACATTAATACATATGTTGACTTCATCATTCTCACAACCCCTGCTTTCCACTTGAGCCCTTGGTTATCAGCTCCTCATTTTTCCCCTCCCTCCCCGCTCCCCCGTCCCCTTGATAATTTATAAATTATTATTTTATCATATCTTACCCCATCTGACGTCTCCCTCACCCACTTCTCTGCTGTCTGTCCCCCAGGGAGGAGGCCATATGTAGACCTTGTCATCTGTTCCCCCTTTCTCCCTCATCTTCCCTCCACCCTCCTGATATCGTGGGGCAACCACTTTTTGTGTGAATTCTGGAAGCTAACTGAATCTGCTATTGGGTAACCAAAGGTACCAAGAAGATGGTCCAGCTTCATCTAAATCAGGCA